TATATACACACACATACATGTATGCACACACATTTTTTCAAATTGATAATAATTTCTTCTAAAATTTGATTTGATCGTTGCTCCAGAGATGCTACTGTGCCAATAAGTATAGGCTCTGATCCTTGGTATCATCTTATGCCACAGCTCAGTTTGGGATGAGATGATGATAAAGCTGTGCACCTTCACCCTGAAGGCATCAGTCCTGCTCCACGGCTGCTCTAAGGATGTGTTTCTGTGACCTTGGGACTGCGCTACAGAGAGGGCCCAAGCTACTGCTGCTCACAGCCAGGTTCTCCATGTGATGTGGTGCAGAGACACTAGTAAAGGTATGACTTGAGGTGTAGCACTGATATGGCTTTAGTCTCTCTTCCAGATGTCCTGTGTTTCTACTAGAATAGCCATCACTACATCACACCACATGCACAATGTTAACATACCCTAAGATGTCACGACTGGCAAGAGCTTCCAATTCTGCTCCGGCAACTGCACTTGAAAAGTGTCTGGGCTACTACTGATCTGGGAGAAGTAAAAGACATGGGAGTGACTGTAATACATGTGAATTATTTGATAGAATCATAGAATTTAAGGGTTGGAATGGACCTTACAGATCATCTAGTCCCAGTCCTCCCTGTCATAGGCAGGGACATCTCCTCTCTAGATCAGATTTGTCTGATTGCACTAGATGAAAGACTTCCTGGACATCTGGGAACAGTTAACTGACTATGTCTGCATGATCCTCATGAACTCTCATGGGTGGGACTGGGATTATGATGTTCTTTCCAAACTTCCCATCTCCTGTTCATACAAGAAACATGTAGATCACTTAGACATGGTAGGCTTGGCATTCTCCAGACTGTAGTAATGATGTAATAAGCTGCTGGGTAAGTTTGACCACATCTGAACCTGCAAACTCCAGAGGATTGCTTGCCCACATCAAGGGAGAGAATGACATGAGGCCCTGCCTTGATGGCCACCACTGAAAGGACAAGGAATCTAGTTTGAAAGGCAGTCATTGAAAGGCTCTCAAAACACATCCGGTGAAGAGAAGGATCATGACAACTGAGAACCAGTACTTAATATTCTCTGAATGACAATCTTCAATACTGGGTTTGTGTGACAAGATTTTGGTGATGAGGGCCTACACCTCCAGGGGTGCCTTCTGTGAGAAGCTGCTAGAAGCCTCCCCCGTGTCTGACAGAGCAAATGAAATTGAGCACAGGAAGGAAGGAGGGCTGAGGGAAAGGTGGTGTAAATTCTGAGGATTTTTTCTTATTATTCCACTCTCATTTTAACTGGTAATAAATTAAACTAATTTATCTGTTTTGCCCATGATGGTAACTGCTGAGTGATCTCCCTGTCCTTATCTCAACCATTGAGTCTTTTGTAACACTTTTCTCCTTCTGCCCAGCTGAAAAGCAAGGAGTGATAAAGCAGCTTAGTGGGCAATTGACATCCAGACAAGGTCAAACCCACTACAACTTGCTTGATTTCTTCAATTTAAATATCCACAATTTTGTTATCATTAAGAAATTCAGACCAAAGCTTAAAAATTTAAGAGATGCTCTTCACTGACTCTATTTTCTTCTCCCCTGGAAATATCTTTAGGCTGCTAAAATCCCCTTTCTTTTTTTCACATTTTCCAATACTCTTTTAAGGTAGCATGACTTTGAAATCTTTCTTTGTATTACTTAAGTGGTAAACAGGTTGGTCTGAATGACTAAAAGCATTTTTGCTAACATTATACCTGCATGTGCTTAGCTTTCTTAAGAAGTGTTTAACCACCAAGCTCTAGTTAGCATACCAAGACTTTGTACCCATTATTCTGATGCTAATTTAATTATTCCCTTTTCAAGATGGAAAAACACAGCAAAAAGGATTAGCTGCTTCAGAGGGAACTGTGTACCTGTGTACTGTTAGGGATGCAGATGTTAAAGCCTGATTTCAAGTGGTTCCTTTTTTAAGAGGCCCTTTCATATGCCTAGCTCTCTACTGTTGTGATTAGATGGTGACAGAAAGCCAACTGAGAGGTCACAAAGCTCACTCCTCCACTACATACAGCAGTGCAATAATATATAAATGAACACACATAAACTTCAGTGCAGGCTGAACAAAGTAGCAAGAAGTTAACACACAAAAGAATGAAGAACTACACCTTTTTAAACCAGGCATGGAGTGTTTTATTAAAGCCTTATGCAATGAGAAAGCTAGATTTAAATGAATGCACAAGAGTGCATTAAAATGTATGAACCAGAGTAGATAAAAAAGAAATTAAGACCTGTCAGTATGATGAATTGCATGATGTCAGTAAATAAGTACACAGGAAGGTAAATCTTAACTAATTCAAGAAATAAGCTCATAAAAATGTCATGTCTAAACAAATATTAGTTACTAGCAACTCAGATTATCTTCTAATGAGATTCTTCTGAGAAGTATTTCATAGTCAAAAGTCACTGCATATGTGTGTAAATAAATGGAAATAAAACATTGCAAAGTTTTATCTGTAATCTGATATAATTAAAAGAAGCAGTTTATAATGAAGAAAATAATCTTAAAATAATAATTTTCAATCAATCATAGCTACTAATAAATAAGAGAACAAGGTCCAAGTTTGCAGAAGAAAATACCACTTAAGAAGTACTTTTCAGACATGCTTTTAGCTTATAAGAGGTAAGCTGTTTGTAATGATCTTGCCAGCCTGCGCTCTCAGCAACAGCTTTGTGACCCCCTCTCTTTTAAAGGAAACAAACAATAAAACCTGCTCAATATTCTTTTTTGATTCAATTGTTCCAAAACTTGGACATCAAGAACTGTATTAATTTTGTGTTTAAAATATAACACACTAGAGAAAAAAAAATCAAATCAAAACACAACAGCAAAAAACTAACTTACTTTTAGCATCCCACAAAATGTCTTGCTCTGGAGGAGCAGCAAAGAGAATGTAAAGACGTAGGGTGTCAATGCCATATTCTTTCACTGCTTCTTCAGGGTCTATTCCATTGTACTTAGATTTGCTCATTTTTTCCCAAGTGACTTCGAGTTTCTCACCAGTTTTTAGGTGAACTGGTTCAGTTCCTAAATATTAAGACATACAAAAATAATAAAACAAATTTTGCTCACTCGTAACAGCAATTAATTTTGTCTCCTAAGCATAAGAAGAAATAACTATTTCTAGTGGCTTTTTGTTTTCATTTCGCTTTGTTTTTCCCCAAAACAGCTT